ATTCAACAAGCACGATGTTTTTAATGCCAAAAAGAGCACAAAATCCGAAAATCCCCCATAGAGTTTTATAGCCTAGGAGGAAAAATACATACTCCACCCGTCAAACATAAAGTAATACAGAGAACAAACGTAGCCATAGCGATAGTTGAATACAACCAGTTAAAAGAAGCAAAGAGCTTACCACGGCAAATAGATCCACTACACAGATGACAAGAAGAATACAGAATCAAAAAATCGATATATGCTTACGTCTTTACACGCACACACAAAGAGAGAGAGATCTCAGCGAAGACGGGGATAGAAGGAGGCGGCGAGGTGACTGGAGGCTCTCAGTGACCTTACGCTAATCGGCGGGCAGCGCACTGAGAGAAAAGTGTTGATTTAAAGTGGGAGGCGTACACCTCAAACCCTAATAGGGTACGCTGCTTCTCTCCGGTTCCCTTCCCTGCGATTTGGTCAAGTAGTAGACTTTATCTCGCCACGTGCTGAGTTTACCTGGACAAATCGGACTTTATCGCACAGCAGGGGGGTATATTCGGTGGAATATGACGGGGCTCTGGGGCTTGGGTTAAAAATTGGATCAGAGCCCAAAAATGGTGGGCCCCAAGCTTCGTGCTAAGTGATCACCTCCTACTCCGGCAATTTGATTTGTAAATTATTTTTTGACAATGAAACGTTACAGGAAAAATGATCCATAAACAGTATTTTTATTTTTTTTTGGTTCAGAAAAAAAAAAAATATGGTAGTTGAATTCTTATATTCATTCTTATAGACTCTTTTAACATTTTTTCTCTCCAAAGGGAATAAATTGCGTCTGCCAGACAGAATTTCAATACTATTGTATCTCAATCTTTTTAGATGCAAGCTGGGTTGCATTTGGCCAAGCAAGAGGATACCGAGAATGCCACAATACAGAGCTTATCCTGGGAATTTGTTGAGGATACTATATGAGCTTAAGGGGACCTTTGGAGTAGATCGGTAGAAGTATCTCTGGTTGCTGAGGACTGCGCCTTTGACATAATGAAGAATGGGCTTGACAGGCTGACAGCCATGAAATGTTTGTTGAGTTGTTGATGCATATGTTGGCACATTTTATTGACGGCAAATGACAAATTCGGGTGAGTAATGGTGAGATACTGTAAACCACCCACAGGGCTTCGATAAAGATGTGGATCATGAAACACAGCTTCATCAGTAGGTCCAGCAAACAATTTGGTAGACATTGGCGAGGAGTATGACTTGCAATCACGCATTGAAGCACGATCAATGAGTGCCAAGGTATACTTGGACTGAGAAAGTGAAATGAAAGACGATGTCCTTGTAACCTCTAGACCCAAAAAATAATTAAGAAGTCCTAGATCTTTCATGTTAAATTCAGTGCTTAGCTTTTGAATAACTTAATCCACAAAAGATTTGTCACTTCTAGTAATAAGTATATCGTCCACGTATATCAAAACAACAGTAACTCGACTAGAATGAGTATCGACAAATAAAAAACTATCTACTGAACTAGTACAAAAGCCAAGGGATATCAAAATTTTTGATAGTGTTGCAAACCAGACACATCGTGCCTGTTTTAAGCCATAGATAGCCTTTTGTAATTTGCAAACATAAGTGGGATGAGTTTGATCAATAAAACCCTGTGGCTGGGTCATGTATACTTCGTCGTCCAAGAAACCATGTAAAAAGGCATTAGATACATTGAGTTGGCGAATGGGCCAGTCGAAGTGTAATGCCATTGAAAGAACTACCCGAATGGTGGGTTGCTTGACTACCGGGCTAAAAGTTTCGGTATAATCAAGACCATATTCTTGACTAAAACCTTGAGCAACAAGACGGGCTATGTGACAAGCCACGATGCCATCAGCATTAGTCTTGAGTTTGTATATCTACTTGCACCCAATAATGTGACGATGAGAGGGAGGTGGGACTAGAGTCCAAGTTCCATGATTGAGAAGGGCATTAAATTTAGCGGACATGGAAGCTCGCCACACTTCATTCTTGTTGGCTTGAGTGTAGGAGGTGGGTTCAATGGGAATGGGGGTAAGAGCACATTGGGCACTTAGAGAAAAGATAGGTTTTCTTTTACCGTGCCGACTTTGGATCGAGTCACCATGGGATGAAGGTTAATAGATGGCCCAGCAGAAGAACCTTGGGTCAAGGGAGGAGTAAGAGAAGAGGTATTGGGTATTAACGGTTGGGAATTTGCTGGAAAAGTATCAGCGTGTACTGTGGTTGGAGATTGAGATTGGGAGGTGGGTGGACAAGGAGTATTAATGGACTGGGAGAGTAGTGGGGTAGACATAGGAACTTGGTAACGTGGTGAGGAAATAGAGGAAATGTATGGATTTGATGAAGCCTGTAAGATGGGTTGTGGAGAAATATGTACCGGAATTTGAGACTTGGATGTGTCATGTAGTAAAGTGAATGTGCCTGGAGAAGGAGACATGGCCTGTGATGAAAACGGAAAAATATGCTCCACAAACTCAACATGTCGAAAAACGAACACTTGACCCGCTTGAATATCCAAGCAGCGATAGCCTTTAGTATTAGAACAATACCCAATAAAACAACATTTGCGTGACCTGGGTTGAAGTTCATGACAATCGTAGGGTCGCAACCATGGGTAACAACAACACCTAAATGTCTTCAAAATGGAAAAATCTGATTGTGTTTTAAACAGATTCTCATAAGGCGAAATATTATTAGTCACGGGACTAGGCATTCGATTAATAAGAAACACGACAGTACATAAAGCATCAAGCTAATAAAGAGTAGGCATGGAAGCGGTATGTAGTAGGGTAATGGTGGTTTCAATAAGATGCCGATGTTTTTTTTCGGCAATTCCATTCTATTCAGGAGTGTGTGGACAAGAATGCTGATGAATAATGCCAAAAGAGGTGAATAGATCTTGCATGTTGTTATTAACAAATTCACCACCACCATCACAGCAAAAAATTTTAAGAGTGCTGGAAAATTGGTTTTCAACCAAATTTTTGAAACAAAGAAAGTTCTGATAAACTTCAGATTTTGTTTTCTTGGGATAAAGCCAACAAAATCGTGAAAAATGATCTATAAAAATGACATAGTAGCGAAACCCACCAATAGAAAGCAAGGGGGAAGGTCCCCAAACATCCGCATGAATAAAAAATAATGGTGTATTAACATTTGAAGTAGACATTGTAAATGTAAGTTTATGGCTCTTGCCAATGTTACAATGTTCACAATCAAAAGAAATACAATCAGAAACAGGAATTTGATGACGAAAAAGTAACTTGCGCAATGTAGAGATTGCAGGATGACCAAGCCTGTTATGCCCAATTTTGCTTGATTCTCTAGAGGAGAGCAAAGCTGAAGGAGACAAAGAATTAGAGTGTAGCGGATAAAGACCATGTTTACTGTCCCCCCGGAGTAGGATTCTCTTGGTTAACATGCCCTGAACCACAAAACCACGCGAGTCAAATGAAGTGATACAATTGTTATCATGAGCAAACCTATGAACAGACAAGAGATTAGATGAAATGTTAGGCACATGAAGAACATTTTTGAGGAGAAAATTTTTACTGGGTGTCGGAAGCAAACCATCGCCAGTGTGATGAATGGGTAAGGTGGTACCGTTGCCAACTGTGACGTTGTCTTGTCCAAAATAAAGAGAATGAACAGAGAGGTTACACAAATCGGAAGTAATGTGATTGGAAGCATCAGAGTCGATGTTCCAATTCAAGTCAGGAGAAGTTGTATGAGCAGCAATATAGGCCTGAGGTTGTGAGTGAACAGGACGTTGGTAAGAAGGATCGAGACGATACCAACATTGCAGTGCTGTGTGATTTGGTTTGCCACAAATCTGACAGAAACGACGAGAAAAAGAGGCATGTGATTGATGCCAATTACCACCACCACAGCTAGATTGGCCACGTCCTTGGCCATGGCGACCATGTCGCATGTTGAAAGGAAAGGAGTTACGACCTCCAAGATGGGTATCATGACCAGCAGAGGAATTACTTTTGAAGCGATCAGTAGTACCACTCTTAGTGACCTAAAAAGCTGCAGTAATCTCAGGAGGAGGAGTGGTTGAATTCTCAAGTGCAAGATGGAGTTTTCACTTGATAGGTGTTGGAGTATAGATAGTCTAAGTTTATTAGGATTTTTTTCTCTTTTTTACCCTTACTAAGATTTTTATATTTGCCTAAACTACAAGGATGTTTAAGTCACTCTGTATTATTTTTGGATATATATATGGGGCTCTACTCTTAATTTGAGTATCTCTTTTCACTTACGTTTATTCCAAGTTGGTATCAGAGTCATACACTAACCCTACCTCAAACCCTAACCTTCTCCCTAACCTAGCCTCCACCGAGATTGCCTCACTGGCAAACTGCCTTCAAGCAAACCCAGCAACCCACTGCCTGTCCACCAACCCCATGCGTGACTGTCCATCCACCGACTGAAACCAAATCCACCGACTGAAATCAAAACCAGAAACATCCACCGACTCCATACCAGCGAACCAAAACCAGCGAAATAGAAAAACGTTGAACCAAAACCAGCGAAACTCCACCGACAACCTGCTGCCCAGCGAAAACACAAGCCCCAAAGCCTTCCACCGACTGCCCATCATACCTATCCTTATCCTCATAACAGCCTTCCAGCCCCTAGCCGCAACACTCCAACAAAATCACACCGACATCCACAAACCCACTTGTCTCACCCACTGCACCGACTGCCTCCATAAAGCACCGACTGCCTACACAGCAAAACCAGCAACCACAAACCAACTGACCAGCCTGTCCACACCGACTGCCTCCATCAAACCAACCCACAATCAAACCCAAAAACCAATACAGCTAAGCACCCGTGACAGCCAATATTATTAGCCGTCACAAACCAACAAACCAAATAAGATTGGGTCACTGTTCATCAGCCCACTGCTGGGTTGCTTTTTTGTTGTAGCTTGGTCCTTCGCACACTTCGTCATAGTGCTGTCAGATTGCAGTATCTAGGACTTTTTTAGGAGGGAGCGGATCCTCTTCTCCTTTTATCTGTTTTTGATGCAGTAGATCATTTATATTTATTGGATTTCTGGGCACCGTGACTTGATTATTTGGGAGCTTTTTGGACCTTCCTTATTTGTCGCTACTGTTCGACTGAAGGTATATTGTTCTCCCTTATTTTATTCCTCTATTTATCTTAGAGTTATTTTCCTGTCACGGGTGCCCTAGTATTGTTGTTGATATGGCTACTACTGAGGGACTTGAGAACCCTACTGTTGACACCTCTACCGTTGAGACATCTATGGGTACTTCCACTTTTATGTTTGACCAATATACAGTGCCTACTAGCACAGTTGCATTACCAGCATTACCGGGCATGATCTCTCAAAAAGTTACGGCACAATTGTTGAATGGTCGTAACTTCGCTGAGTGGTCACGCTCATTCCAGCTTTTCTTAGGCCGTGTAGGGAAGCTTGGTTGGCTGACTGGATCTCACCCAAAGCCAGCTGACGCCGACCCTGGATATTCTGCGTGGTTCTCTGAAAACTGTGCCATTCTTGGATGGTTATTTGGCTCAATGGAGCCCTCTGTTTGCAGGATCCACCAGTTTCATAGCTCTGTTCCGAAGCTATGGAGCGCATTATCAGAGATGTATTCTCAGTCAGGACGGGGAGTTCGTGTTTATGAGCTTTCTCAGGAGCTCTCATATGCTCGGCAGGGAGATATGACCGTTCAGGATTATTATGGCTATTTGACCCAGCGCTGGCTTGAGTATGAGTCTCTACGTCCTCTTGCTGCTATTCCGAAGATAGAGCCCGAGGGAGCAGCATTCTTGCATACTCGAGAGCAGGAGGATAGGATTCACAAGTTCCTTATGGGGCTTCGTGATGAGTTTGAGGGACCTCGTTCTCAGATCTTGTCGATGTTGACACTTCCTTCTCTTTATGAGGTGTATGGGATGATTGAGCAGCATGAGCGTCGAGTCCGTATTGCATCACTTCCAGTTGCAGCTTTGACTCCTTCGATTGACCAGATGGCCCTTGCAGCTGCTGTAGGGTCCCGTTCAGGATCCTTAGTCAGGGATGGGCAACGCTCAGACCAGCGCCGTCAGGGCGCCCCAGATCAGCGCAGACGGGGGGATTCCCGTCAATGTGATTATTGTGGCCGACCAGGACATCTCAGGGCTACTTGCTGGAAGCTCCATCCAGAGCTTAAGCCACCTTCTCGCAGCCGTACTGTTGCTATTGCTGAGGTACCACCGCCCACTACCGCCACTCCTGCTACTGCTCCTCCTTGGCAAAGTGATATGGATGCTATCACTTCCCGATTAGATATACTTATGTCTGCTCTGACTTCTCAGAGTCTGACTACTGCTGCTGTCACCACTACAGGTATATCTCGTGCCTTTCACGCTTGTGCCAGTTCATCTCCCCTTTGGATGTTGGACTCGGGTGCGAATGGTCACATGACAGGTGAGGCCCATCACTTCACCACTTTTGACGAGCCGTTACATACACAGGTTCAGTTAGCAGATGGAACACATGCCCCTATTGTTAGTAGGGGTACAGTCCGTCTCCCAGATGGCCTTACATTACATTCGGTTTTTCATGCGCCAAAGTTGGCCATGAATCTATTATCTGTACATCAGTTAGCCAGAGATTTTCACTGTGCGGTTGTATTCTTATCTGATTCGTGTTATTTGCAGGACCTGAGTACCAGGAGGATTATTATCAAGGGACATGAGAAAGATGGACTGTATTATCTTGGCAATCCATCTCCAGTTTCACCAATTCCTTCACCTGCACCTGCTTTGTCTTTTTCTGTTCCTAGCTTGCATGCTAGTATTTTACCTAGTAGTTGTCGTTATGATTTTTCGCCACAAACTGTTCAATTGTGGCATGACCGTTTTGGACATACAAATTTTAAATATTTATGTATGTTGTTTCCTGCTTTGAGTAATGCTTGTGTTGGTGGTAAACTTGATTGCGTTATCTGTTCCCTATCAAAACATGTTAGGGCCAATTATATTCCTCGCATGCACCAGTCACCCAAGCCATTTGACCTAATACACTCTGATATTTGGGGACCCTCTCCCGTTACTGCTCTGTCAGGTGCCAGATATTATGTGACATTTATAGATGATCATACCCGTTGTACTTGGGTCTACCTTTTGCATAGGAAGTCTGATGTGCTCCCTATAATCACTCAGTTTTTACAGATGATTAAGACACAATTCGATGTCATTGTTCGTGCTCTTCGTTCGGATAATGCCAAAGAATATGTGTCTGATGCTTTAGTGTCTCACCTTTCTTCTCAGGGTATCCTTCAGCAACTCACTTGTCCATATACTCCTGAGCAAAATGGTGTTGCTGAGAGGAAAAATAGGAGTTTGATAGGGATGGTACGTTGTCTGCTTAGAGGCATGAGGGTACCAAAATCTTATTGGCATTTTGCTGTT